TACAGTTATAATCATTCTGTACATAGCAAATATTGGGAAATAGAATGAGAGCGATGTCCTTCATCTAAGAACAAATTATAGTATTTTGATAAGGCTGGAGCCATGGATGTCTAATAACCTGCTAACATGTATGATTTAAAAGAAGATGATGTGGCAGACTGGAGATGTATAAAATGCCTTTTTAACTGTTAATCAGGACCACTTCCTGAGAGGTGAGCAGCTGCCTTCTGTAACTAAGCAATTTCTCTGATCTGAGTAAGATTACAATTTCTATCAGAATCTGTCATATCTAAAGGTTATTTAATACATATAAGTTATAAAAACTTATTTAAAGAGTTTGTCCCCACCGATCGGAGAGATAAAGCTCCCAGATGCAGACACAGAACAAAAGTTTTATAGATTGAACAAACCATATAATAAGATGTTGCATGTTTTCCTCTGATAAACAACCTACTATGGCAAAGATATTTTTTAGACCTACAAGTATTTTTACCAAAAAATCTTTATATAACATAAATACGATTTCATAAAAGTATCGTTATAAAAGCAGTCAGGAAAGTGTAATCAGGTCAGGGTCTGTGTTCCTGTTAGCTTAGCTGCTAGTTGAACACTGACCAGGAAACAACCCTGTGACCTACTTACACTGTTTAACAACACGGCCCCGTTTAGCCTCCAGTTAAACATTTAACGGTAGCAAAACATTACCTATCAAATAAGCCTATTTGACACAAATCTGGGGCAATTCAAAATTTAGAGCCGACTGCGTCACAAGGTGGGAGTGAAAAGCGCGCAGGCTGCCGCTGAGCCGCAGACACAAGGCCGCCGATTGCTGCCATTTTAGCTCCGACGTCCGGGAGCAAAACTGGGAGCGTTAAACAAACCCTCCAGAGCCCCCCAGCACCAACCGGCTGACTGATACTGACGACTTAACACAGGAATCTCACAAAAACGTCGAGTATTAACAGCGAAACAGATTCTTATTTTGTTTAATTTTAGAAAAAACGGCGGCGAAAAAGACGCCATCAGTGGTTAAACACCAAGAAAAAAAAAAAGACACGACCAACGAAGTATCGATACATACCCTCTATCTCTGCCCCGGTCTCTGTCTGAAAAGCCAGGCATTGTTTAGCAGATTGTCGTGGAAAAAGTTGTAAGAATGATAACAGCTCCTGTAAGCACTGAGAGCTGGTACTGGAACTAGGTGAAAAGAAAATGCCGGCCGGTTCACAAAGCCAGAGCGGCGAGGCGGAAATGATGTCAGAGGAGGCGCATAACACATGTATTCATGCGCGTGTGGTCCTACTTTATGTCCGAAATTGACCTAATTTTACCCACGGCTCTCTAAATGCGTTATGGACCATGCTACTGCGCACGTGGACTTTATAATTCGGTATTCTTCGCCTTTTGGCAAAGACAATTAGCAAGGAGAAATAAAAATCTAATTAAATTAAATCTAAAGAAGTTGACAACTGTGCAGGGGCGGATTTAGGAAATTTGGGGCCCTAGGCAAAGATAGGCAGGGGGGCCTCTGAATTGAGAAGCCACCACATAAAACATACCCATTATACAGATACAGAAATGTTTTTATCCCTTTTCTTGTTGTTTTCCTCTCCATGTTTTTATTTGTCCCTTTTTAAGACATCCCAAGTCTCCCGGAAGTTCAGCGAGTCTCCCTGATATAGATAGTTGTTTACAGATGGCCACGAGTCGGATAAATTATCCCGGATTTTAGACTCTGCAATCTGAAAGGAAAAATCAAATATTGCAACAATTTTTTTTTTTTTATCTGTTGTTCCAGATCTTAATGGCAGTAGGATCACCTGTATTGGAGTGCATTACAGTGTCTCTGATGAAGCCTCCAACTAAAGAACCTTTGCTTTATTTCGTCAGGGTCGCAGTGCAGCCGGTGTCTATCTACAGCAGCCTATGGGCAAGACAAGCAAAGACACACAACCATGCACACACACACACACACACACACACACACACACTCACGCCTAAAGATTTTGATTCTTCACACCTGTGTTCTAGCCTTTTTAAGCAAGCGTCAAACCCATCGATGGGGCCAGATTATAGAAAACCCTCGGTCAGTAAATGTCAAGCATTCCTTGTTTGCCTGATAATGGCTTGGATTCCCGCCTCCGGACCTCACAGAGTTGTCTGACTTAATGACATCGTCTGAATTTCTGCTTCTTGACCATCACCTCTCGCCAAGTCCCATGATCTGTAACCCAAAGATTCCACATACTCCGTCAGCGCTCCGCTTCACCCCAATCACGTTTGTTGTGTGGAGTACTTGTCTGTCATGTTAATCAATGAGAGCTTGGATGGCCTCTTTAAACCAACAAGAGCTGCCTCTGCCTTGGAAAAACTAAATGGATAACCCTTTTTTTAGAAAGTAAATGTTTTTCTTCTTTCACCTGTCTCATTTGACCATCACTAAACTAGCCCGGAGTCCTCCAGGACTGGAGTGACGTCACACTGGAAAAACGTTCTAGTAATAAGTAAACATTCGTAAATTAAGTGTATTTACCCTTAATTTGAATAGGTAAATTAGATAGTTTGCCAATGGAATGAGTATTTTTGCTCTCAAAATTAGGTTAATACGACAATATGCACATTAAATAAGACAATGCAATTGTATTTTCTCATTTTAAGTGTAAACTGTCTTGCTACATTGACAAAATATCTTTTAACCCCTAAATCCAAGAACAAATACACTTATTTGAAGAAAAATATGACTTATATAGATTTTGATTTTTTTCCAGTGCACCGTCAAATCTAATGCTGCTCTTAACCCACCTTCTTTCCTCTCTTCAAATATTTTCTGAGTCCTCAGTATCTTTTTTTTGGTTTAACTGTTTGAAATATAGAATCAATCCAGCTACTAACTGGATCTCTCTGCCTTAGAGGTTTCTGTCTCCCAACTGACCAGTTTTCTGCAGCATCTGAGGAATTCCCTGAATAAACCTTTGAATGGTTCACTGTTGTGTCTGGCTGAATTTTGGGTTTCTCTTTCATGTCATTGGACACAGACACAGTCAACGTGAAAATAAAATATAATGAGGCTTTTTTTTGCTGTGTCTTTTCATATTTTGCTGCTATAGTGAAGAGTGTGTGGTGTTGTCCACTCAAGGCAGGTTTGAAGGGTATGTATTTGTAAAGTTAATGGTGTGAAAGACATTTCTTTATCATCATCAACTTTATTTATAAAGAGCTTTAACAACAGATACAGCTGAAACAAAGTGCTGTGCATCAATGGTAACAAAACAAGGGGGAAAAAAAACAGAAAAACCTCACAATTGGTTAATAAAACTAAACACATAACAACAACATATGTAGAATGCAAATAAAATTTGACAGCACAATAAAACTGATTCAATTAATAAAAGGGTGAAAGAGAAAATAAAGGAAATTAATTGAAATTAGGTCTCAGTCGGGTTGAAAGCCAATTCGTAAAGATACATTTTTAGATGGGCTTTAAAGATGGACAGCATAGGGGCCGGTCTGACAGAGCGTTCCATAAATTAGAGGCCCCGATAGAGAACACCTCGTCCCCTCTAAGATTCCACTTAGAGGTGGGGACTACCAGGATAAGCTCCTAGGTAAGAGGGGCACATTTCTTTAAAACCTTGAAGACAAACAGAAGGATTTTAAAATTAACTCTAAAATACATGAGCCGCCAACGAAGAGAAGCCAAGACTAGAGGGATGAGCTCTG